CTTTATATTGTTTGTAAGTTTGTGAAATTTTTATATATAAATCATAGTGTGTAATAACTATTTGTAATAACTGTTACTGTAAATTTTATTGTTTGTATATTAAAGCATATTTGTGTTAAAAAAGAAACTGTGTGTATCAATCTTGTTGGCAAATATCATAAATTGGAGATGTATCGGCATATATTTAACTACTAAATTTAAAGTATCAGTTAACTCAGTTTCAGACCTTTCAAAATTGTAATACGTAACATTTCATTAACAAATCTGTTTTGCAATAGAACTTAGGAAGGACTCTTATTAACAGATCCTTCGTGTTATGGAACTTAATTTGGGATCTCATTAACAGATTTATTGTGTAATGGAATTCAGGTTGGGATCTCATTAACACATCTGTTGTGTAATGGGATTCAGAGTAGGTCACAGTAACAGTTCTGTTGCACATTGAGATTTGGGTTATTTCTCAGTAACATGGTTAAATTTCAGACGTTCTGTTACGTTATGAAATTCAAGTTCGTATCATAGTAACAGATTTGTTGTGTAATGAAATTCGGGATGAGGTCTCAGTAACAGATTTAAAGAAATGTGCAATTACCAGCTCTATTGAGTAATTAACAAATATTATTCTCATGCTTTAAAAAATACAAAACGCTGATCAGTATATAAACGAATGAAGCGTTTATACTGTAATTGTACAAGGGAATTAAACATGTTGATAACACTGAAATACATGGTTCGTTATCTACAGAAACACAGATTTCGATGTAATATAAGGTCTGATGAAACCTTTTTTTTAGTTTCTCCTTACATCACTACTCATTCTTGGTCGCATACGCCTTATAGTATCAACCTAAATTTAAAAAAAAATGGAAATTTAAATATATAATAATTGTTTGATTAAAATATGAAGTACAGAAAAACGGTGACGTTATTATAATAATTACAAGTTAACGATTCTTTAAGTTAACTTTTTCCAGTGCTGTTAAACTCGAATGACTGGCGTCTGGAGCATACCAAAGAAACTAACTTAGCCAATATGGCACCTGCTTGTCGTGCACCAACTATCAAGCTTCCTTTGAACACTGCAATTTATTAACCTCTACACATATCTGTTAGGCTGACTGCAAATGTGCTTATTCTAGTCATTTATAGTGCTGAACGGATCATCTGACACATATATAGTCACTCTAACTTGCATCTGCGGCTCAGGTCAGGTTCAAGTCTGAAAGGGTACACAGTTCCAAAGAAAGTGGTCAGCAGTGACTTTTCAATTCCAGAGTAATGATTGTTTTCCTATATTATTTATAAATCTAGATTATTTTTCATCAAATACTACAGATAAGACTGATGATCTTTTCAACAAAAATCAATTCTTGAAACACATTAGTAAACATTAACATCCCGGTAAAAGTCCAAACTTCTCAAGTCATATCAGCACACATTTCTGTATGGACTTGGTAGGATTTACCTGGGATACTCTAGTGTGATACTCAGAGAGGCAAACAAAGGTATAAGTAACAAATAGCTCAGGAAAATCCTATGTGTAATTTTAATTTATAAGATCTTCTAAAATGTGACACTAGAAACTCTGAAGCCTCAAGTCTGTTTTTAATGTAACATATTAGAATTATTAAATCTTAGTTTGAAGTCTCATATCATTCTACCTTTTTGTAAGTGATCACATTACATTAAACTTGTACAATTCTCTAAGCTACTAAGCAAACCACTGTTTGGTGTCTGGTGACTATCTGTAGTAACTTTGTTTTTCAAAAGATAATGAGGACTCATTTGGTTTATCCAGGCTATCCCGTTTTCTACAATCACCGTACTTAAAACTTATATAGAAACCCATCCAGTCTCTTCTTATAAACTCTTTCTACAACACATGAAGGGAAACCATTCCATACGCTGACCATCCTAATAGAAAAGTAATATTGCCTTAATTTCTAGAACACTACTTAGTCCTGCCACTAATCTTGTATAAATAATATAATACATTTTAATTCACACTGAATTTTTCATTTATCAACAATAAAAACATTTCTGCAAAAATTAAGTATGATGTAAGGATGGCAATGAAAAAGTAGAGAAACAAAGTTAGGATGAATACATGAAACCACACAAAAATCCCTACATAAGTAGCCACTAATTACTGAGTCAATCTTAAAAACTTATCTTTATTTGCACTATAAGACTGTACAGCATTATTACGTTTAAATGCTTTTATTCAAACTGAATTCATGCAAATGACATGAATTCAACATTTAGTTGTAGATAAGTTATTCTTGGAAAGATTTGGCTACTTATGTGGTGATTTTTGTATGGTTTTGTGTATTTATCCCTACCTTGTTTCTGTACTTTTGGCATTGTAATCCCTATATCATACTAAATATTTGCAATTTTTTATTACTTGTTTTCCTTTCTTATTTTTTAAACAATATCAGTGAAGTAGGTTGATAAGTCAGCATTTGTTATATTTTTATAATTCAACGGTAATATATATTGTTAATATCATATTGGTTTTATCAGTTTATTCATTGCACTTGTAGAATAAACCTCAAATATTAATATTATACTATAAAACTGGTTACAATAGATTATTAATCTTAACTTCTTGGGACTTAATGCTGATGAACCTAAAGACACCGATTGTATAGTGTACAAAGCATTGAGTATTCTATATGTTACATTCATCTAATGGTGATCTATTACTGGCTGTTTCACCCTGTATGTAAGCTTTTAAAGTTTCTTGTAAAGAGCTAACTTCAAGGGGTAATGATAACATAGTTTATACTATAATTATGATTTTATTTATCTCATACTGTTTTCAAATACAATTAATTCCTATAAATCCTCAAAAAACATTTCAGCATCATTACACACCAAATATGAGATATTGACAGGAGTTACTATTTTATCTTTGATGAACCAAAATGCAGATTTGGTTATTATCATTTTACAACGTTTTAAGGGCAAAAGTTAACATAAATACAGTTATTCTATGACGTCTATATTTACTGCATAATTTTACTAAGACACACACATTATATTTTCAATTTTACCCTTGTTGAAATAAAATCTGTAATATTATCATTACCCAATTGGTCTATTATATAATACCAAACAATAAATTAGGTGTGATGCCATAATATTATTCACACTCATAAGTTAATATAGGTTATTATATGGTGTGTTAAAAAGAACTATAAAATCCTATATATATATTATGTACACATCAACATTACAAGAGGCCTTACTGTATTTCTTTAGTTTGCTAACCCAGGCCATGCTGTGATATGAGCCTTGAATAGGTAAAACTGAAGTCCATGGTAGAGGGTGTGGTAAATCAAAAAAAATGCATTAGTCACAGATGATATTTTCAATATTACCTTTAATGAAAAGAAATCTGTAATATTATCACAAAGTACAGTAGTTCTTAGTATGTAGGGATGGTCCGAAAAAAAAGGCTGCCACATTCAATCTATTACTCTATTTTTTATTTATATTCCTGTAAACTCTCAGTGGAGCATAGGGCCGCAACAACACCTCGCCAATGGAAGGTGTTGTTGCAGTTACTTGTAGCAAGTTGGTTTTTACGGGATGGAGTTGCTAGCACCGTGCTAATCCTGGACTTGGGACCAGGCAAAGGCGGAGGTTGGCACGTTTGGTGTGACGGGGATTCGAACCCGCGATCCTCAGATTACGAGTTGAGCACCCTAACCACCTGGCCATGCCGGGCCGCTATTACTCTATGATGCTCACAAATAACTGCTACAATTGAGTTATAGCCTTATTTGAGCATCTAATTGCTATTATCGAGTATTTCAAAGCTTGTAAGACTCTCAATATCATTGGAAAGTGTTGCTAAAATGGAGAACTGGGAACTAGCTAAAGAGCCAGAGTGTTCATCTTTCTTTTTTCTTCTCCCATGCTAGCCAAAAAATGAGCGAAGTTTTTGCAATGGATTTAGTACAACAGAAAAGCATTTTAATGTCCGCTACATTCAATCTGTTACTCTATGGAGTTTATAAATAACTGCTAAAGTTGAGTTATAGTCTTATTTGAGTACCTAATTGCCATTATCGAGTGTTTCACAGCTTTTATAAGAGTAATATTATTCTGTTCTTCTACCACACGTATTTTTGTGGGGAAATAATAAAAAGGAAAACTACTATTTAGCAATGAGTTCAGTTTATAAGCATATATCATTTTAATGTGTAATATATAATAGTTTCATTTCTGGTCGCTAGATGGTAGCACAAATTGTTCTTATATAACGACTGTTTGTGACTTTTCATTGCACAAACATGATATCTGCCAAAAAAAAATACTAAAAAGAAAAAAGAAATGGTTATCTAAAATTAATATTCAAGGTATCAAGGAAATCACATATTTATGGAACTGACAGATCGGAGCTTAAAAACACCAGTTTCATTCTTAATTATGAAAACAATACATTATATAGCAGTCTACCTTTCTTCAAATTTTCAGTGAGGCTGAGCCTGGCAGCTGTGTGTGTATGCGTGGTATCATACTTCATGGCCTGGAATCTGTATGATGTTCTCCCTATTAATCGACGATTCTCATTTGTGGTGGAGTCAATTGTATGCACATGCAATGAGTTGGGGGTGAAGTTGGAAGGTGTGGGTTCTGTAAATATCTCTTTAACGTTGGTCCAGCACTCCAGAGTAGTTGTACTGTCCTGTAGAAACCATTCCAGCTTCACTGGCCCCCAATGTAATCCAAAATTACAAGAAACTGATATGACGATAACAATATATATTACCATTGAATTGTAAAAATATAACAAATATTGACTTATCAACCTACTTCACTGAAATTGTTTAAAAAAAAAAAAGAGGGAAAATAAGTAATATTTTTTTTTCAAAAACTAAGTATAATGCAGAGATGGCAATACCACAAAAGTACAGAAACAAGGTAGAGATGAATACACAAAAACCATACAAAAATCCCTACACAAGTAGCCAGTAAGTACTGAGTCAATCTTATAATCGTATTGTTATTAGCCACAGTATGACTGTATAGCACTATCTGTTTAAATGCTTTTTTCAAACCTAAATTCATGCAACTGACAGGAATTTAACATTTAGTTGTAGATAAACGCTATTCTTGGAAAGATTTGGCTACTTATGTAGTGAATTTTTTACGGTTTTGTGTATTCATCCCTACCTTGTTTCTGTACTTTTTGGCATTGTTGTCTCTGCATCATAATTAATTTTTGCAATTTTTTTAAATTACTTGTCATTATACAGTATGGAACAAAAACATTCAACTAGAAGATATAAAGTCTCAGATTCTTTTATTTCCTATTATGTATTACTTATTGAATCCATGTTTTTTAGTTTGATATTATGTACAACTACTGAATGTTTGATTCAATCTATTAGAATAATTCTTATTTAAACAGACACATTCTAATTTCTAACTAAAATGATGTGTAACAAAAACCATGTGGGAAGAAGAAATACTGGATAAAGGTTACAAGTAATTCCATAATCAAGACTTAAGTTTATAGTTTAAATACAAGAATGCTATCACAAGCTCATGTATTAGGTAGAATTATGACACAGTATTTGTAAAAGAGACTACAAAAATCTATTATGTATATTACATTGCTGTTTAATGAACAACAATCACTAAATGTGTATAAAACACATGTTAGCTTAGTATATGAACTGGCTAAATAGATCAGGGTAAGATATGACTGACTAGAGTTGTTTTATTTTGATCAATCTTTACAGATGAATACACTTTTATGTAAATATTAAAAAACTGAGTCCTAAGCCGTATAAAAAGAAACATTATCTACAAATGCATAACTCTCTCATTAGTTATACGATCTTCAGTGTGTGAATAAATACCTAATGTTATTAGCTGATACCAATTTTCTAATCCAAGTACTGATAGATTTATCCAAGCCAAGCTCAAGCAAGAACAGGCACCCATGTGTCAGTCCTATTACAAATACCTATCCAAATATAAAGGCACCCATGTGTCAGTCCTATTACAAACACCTATCCAAATATACACAGAAAAAAATGAGACACATTCAGTTCAAAGCAATTGGTAAATTATGGCTATTTCTGGAACTCAAATCATCTTGGTTAGTTTTGAATATTGCACAAAGCTACTCAAGGGCTATACGTGCTAGCCATCTCTAATTTTGAGGTGATAGACTAGAGGGAAAGCAGCTAATCAACATCACCCACTGCCAATTTTTTGCTACACTTCACCAGCAAAATGTTTATGTAGACTGCACGTGGAACATTTTTGAGGTAGAAAATTTCTATTTTATTTTAGTTATTGTTTTATGTAATTTGCCTAGTTTAGTTCAGTTGCATATTTAGTTGCCTTAAAAATGCTACTGTACCTGCAACCTAGTGTATAATATACGAATAATTTTTTATGTTAAGAAACTGACACTAGGTTCTTCTAACAGTGACTAGCTTTCCCTAGCAGTGACATATGGATACTAACTTCATATATGACTAAAACAGATGCTAATTTGCTATACATGTGATACATAACCTCCTGGTTTGGCAAGGAAATAAAAAACTCTATAACTTGAAGTTAGAGAGACTTGAGGGAAGGTGGACTAAGTGATATGTAAGATACTTGTTAATTATTTAAAGTGATATATTTATTTCAGAGACTTGCTTATTATTTGTAATTTCACAACTGTTTAATATTGTTAATTATTCTTTTTTGAAATCTTACAAATTAGTTTTTTTTCTTGATGTGGTTCTTTTTTACTTTGAATGTTCTGTTTATGAGATATCTAGCTACAAAACTCTTGGCCTGGCATTAGTTGATTATTTTATTAAATTTGTATAAATTATTTTGTGATAAATAAATTTGCATTTTTTTATCATACTCTTAGAAGTAACATTGTTGTTTGATATGTTACATTGGCACCTGAACCCCTAGGGACATCTCTGAAAGGCTGTGGTACTTTGTTTGTTTGGTCTCTGATTCTCTCAAGCAAGTGCTCTACCAATAAGTTAAATAACCGTGAGAAGCTAAAAATGTAGTGTATAGTTACAATGGAGATAATTGATGCTGATGTGTCAAGCTTGGGGCAGTCTATTTCAGTTGTGTTGAGTAGATGAAAATGTTAACATGCTGTGTAACAGACTAGCTGGCAAGAGATATGACTCCTCTCCTATACCACCCCAAGGTTCAACATGACTACCCTTTGCAAACTTTTAATCTACAATGGAATGCCATGAAGAAGAACCACCACTTTATATTATTGCAGTCAACCATCCACCCCTGCCTGAATGGCATTTTAAAGCTTGGAAGAATTTAAGGATAGTTTAATTAACCTATACCTGGCTGTGTTAGACGAAACTGTGTTGGCTCAAGAACTTTACAGTATAAAGTACACTCTACAGTTATGGAACCCTGGAGCTACTGAAAGAAGCATACTAGAGTGTCTAGTATCTAAATAACATGTTTCATTAAAAGCACTTAGAATAACACTATGATGTTTCTACTGTCGACGTGCTAAGATTCACTACATAGTATGAATATTGGCATAAGAGTAAACCAGAAGTTGTCCAAAGAAAAGTGATTAATAGAAGTGAAAATTGTTGTAAAATGCTATAATTTTAATCAAATAGGCCATTTATCTATATTATATGAATAATGTTGTACATGTTTAATAGAACACAGAAATGACAAACAGCAGTCAGGAAATGAAGAGGTTAAAGGTGGAGGCTCTGAGTTCTACCAAAGTAAATTCCTCTTATCCTAAGTTTAGTGTTCAGAATAGTTATTTAATGGTTATTAGTACTTATTATTGATTAATTTGGTAAATGGGTTGAATTTTATCCTTTTAGACAAATAAACACTCTTGAAGAAACTAGTTAATGAATACTTGTATATATATATATATATATATATATGGTATTCAAATCTTGTAGTTTTGAGTACTAATCACACTTTTATAAACTCATTATCATATTTAGAGTAACATGAAATAATGAGTAAATAGTACCATAGGTAGAATATCTGCTCACATTATCATTATCAAACTTGGGATAATCAGCTACATTAACTTTTTTTGCCATCAGAACTTCTGCACCAGCCAATCAACATCTATGATGTGAAATCATCTTTTCCTGGAACTGTCTGATTGATTATCATATTAAACCTTGGATGGTGGAAAAGTGAATGAATGAACTGCAACAAGTTCTGCAGAAAGCAAGGTATAGCATTGAAACAGCTCAAAAATTACAATGGTGAGGCTCCACTCATAAGTTGCGGAAAGCGACTTACAAAGTAAGTGATAGAGTATTATTGAAGACTCATCCTATCATCTTATGCAGTAAATAATTTCACTACAAAACTTACCCCAAGATGGAATAAACTTTTTGGAATTGCTAAGTGTTTAATTTGACTTGTGTGTGAATTATAATACCTTAGAGCTGGTCGATTTGTACAATGATTTCATGTTTTTAATACAAAGAAATATGTTTTCTTCCTTACTGGGGGGGTTCATAATGTTAAGCCTAGTGAAAGTGATACTGACAGTTACAGTCAACAGCACCCAAAACAATTAAGGCAGACTCTTTTTGTTGACTACAAAAGACCCGTAAAGCTTCTGCTAGTAAAACAGAATTTCTCCAGCTTTTAGGAAGTCTCCTGTTTCAGACCCTGATCAATTGATGGATTATGTTGATGATCTACCTATGGTAGCTCCTGCTCAAATCAGTCACAGAACATTAAGAACAGATCCTATGTTAGCTACAGAAGATTAGCTGGTGTTCCTCATACTGGGAGGAAGTAGTGATGAGCTGTTACAGTAAGTTGAAACAGAGCTGGAAGCAAGAGAAGATCAGGCATAAGATATTTTCAAAGAAAAGTGTATGTTAGGTAACTGTACAAGATTCTTAGTGTTGGTATAGAGGATACTTTATTACTGAAAGGAAAATTTATCTGAAACAAACTTAACACTTTAAATAGCCTATAAACATATTTTTACATAGTACTTAGCCTAACTGCTCTTGCAATTCTTGCTTATTTTTGGAGTAAATCTTGGTTTTATTTTTTTGGCTGATGACAAGATTGCATATAACATGATTAACAAATTAGCATTTTTTTACATAGTCGTACATGAACTAAATATCCATATGTCACCAGTAAAGGAACCATGTGTTGGATTGTTAATATAAAAAAAAAAGATTCATATAATATACACTAGGTGGCAGGTGACCTAGTGTTTTTAAGGCAACTAGACACAAAATTGAACTAATGATAGAAATAAATGATAAACAAATTTATAACTAAAAATGTCTACCTCATATATTCCTCTCATTATAGTAAATGAGTAATGGCATTAGTCACTTCCTACAGAATTCTCTTTGCTTTGCATGACTATTATTTGTGATTTAACACTACTTTTGAGAACTGTTTAACACTGTTAATTATTATTTTGTATAATTTTATAAATTACGTTTTTTCCTGGTTCTTTTTTTTATTAATTCATTATTATACTGTTTGATTTGGTATTGATAATGTTACTGGTTTTTTTTTTTCCTTTGAATAATTCTGTGTTTGAGATATCTAGTTACAAAAATTCTTGACAAGGTACTAATTTATTAATTACAAAAAAATGTATAACTTGTCTTGTGGTTAATTTTGCTTTTATCCTAGGAATAAACAGATTTAATTTGGATTTCCACTCACAATCATTAACAAACTTGGATATATTCCCCTTCCTGCACTGGATCATGTCATAAACTGAAAATAGGCCACAGATGCAATGTCTGATAAACATGCCATGAGAAAAGTTTGAGGCAAATAGAAAATTGTATGTAAACTGTTTTTAATTTAAGAATAATTATTGACATGATTGCGAGGATTTAGAGTTTCCATTTTTGTGGGTTAGGATAAAATAGTTAAAGTATTATTAATATAATTATATTACACATTGAACTGTGTGTATTGTTTATATACAGACCTCAAAAAACTTGGTACATTGGATGTAAAATCTTGGTTAAAGGGAAAATTTGCAGTAATGTGCCAGTCACTTTGCCAGTTCTTCCCTAAATGGACTACCAACCCTTGTTGTAAAAATAAATAAAAACAGCCTTAATTATAAGAACTAATCTATCCAAGAAACTCTTCTTTATACGTAAAGGTTTAAAGCATCATTGGCTAAATGTGCTGGTATTCCATCTTCTATTACACCATCTGGGAATCACAGAAAAAACAACAACACACAATAACTTCAACAATGTTGTTTTCAGAGAATATTTCTTGAAATAAATGTTTAAAAGATGAGATAATTATGAATCTCTCCTCTTGAATTCCTTATTTTACATTTGGATTACAATATTCATGGTGTAACATACACATAATCAACAAAACTATGAGGCTTCTTACTCTAGGTTCCTCAAAAAGAAAAGCTTTTTGATACTTAGTGCCAGTTGATCCTTTAATTAATCGAAAATTGAAAGAATGCATATATATGGCTTAATTATCTGTAGCAGTGTCCTTTAATGGTTTGTCAGGTGATGACTAAAATTTATGGATCCACCTATACTGTAATAAGGTTAGCATTGGTCACTTTGGGTAAATGCAAGATTTTTTTGTGTGGTAAAGAATGATACATTTGATCAATGCAGTCTGGAATAGGATCTTGAAAATTAAGCTACCAAGAGTATTCAGTAAAAATGACAGTTCATTGCATTCCAAAACAGGCACATACTGTGCTTTTGTTTAATAAATTGTGTATTTTTGTATGTTAATTTATATCTAGTCTCACTATTCTAATTCAACTCAGTTAGTAATACATTTAGAATTATTTTGTAATCAATATCCTGATTGAATCTCCTGTTATTAAGTAGATCTGTTCACTATAACTCAAAAGCGTTAATTCAGTTTCACCTAGATATACCACATATGTATCAAAAAATAAATCCAATAAGTTTTACAAGCACACTTTTAGGTTATAAATATATTCATTCATTAGTTAGTTAGGTCATATTTTTTGTTTAACGTGGGACATGATGGTGGGTAAAACAAAATATGCAGCCTAGCTAACTAATGAATGAATATTTGTTGTAAAATTATTATCAATGCTATAAGTATAGCTACAAGTCTTGGCCACAAATTTTGATTTCATTCCTTTAAGATGCATGCTTAGTCCTTTTTTGATTGCACATTTTTTACACACCCAAAGTGTTTTTATTAGATTATCTTATACTGTCCTTCCGAATCAGACGACGGGACTAAGTTTGGTATACAATAATACCAAGCTGCATATGCCACTGAATATTCCAATAAGATATTTAGAGGAGATAATTTTCACCAAGTCATATCAATCTGTACAAGTCATTCATGAGTACACACAGGACCAAAGTGATTCAAACTTAAGCCATTACCATATATGTAACCCCTAACTTGTAAAAAGATGTAGAACACATGCAAAAAAATTTACCTGAATACATCTCATACACCAGAAGGTTGAAATTAGTGGCTGTTTCAGCTGTGACAAGTCTAATTTGGCCATAAAGTTCAGGTAAAGTCATTCCTAAATTTGGACAATTACTCAGATGCAAAGGTACTTTTAGCTTCATTACATATAAATTCTCTTTGACATTTTAAAATCAGAAGTTATATATCTGTTGACTATTCTTATTAAAATGACATAAATCAAATTAAACTGTAGATAGATTGTCCCCGTAATGTTATTCACAAACCTACTTTCTAAATAAACACCACACATAGGTTTTAATTCAGCTACAATAAGACTTCAGTAACTGAAAATTTTAGAAAAGCTCATATTGATAACATTTATTAATCTCACACTTACAGCACAGACTTCAGTCTTCTCATACCACACATTAATGTTAAAATGTATAAGTACCAGATCAACTGCTATTTTTCTCTCAGGATCTCTAATAACATCTTCAATTATTTTGAGACAGGCTTGCTATAAGTCAACAAAAACTTACCTGGACTTCAACTGTCACTATGAAATCCACATTGATAGCTTGTAATAAAACTTAAAAGCTATCAATGGATTAATCAATTGCAGTATGTAAACTTCTTTTACCAGTTCATTTTATTATTGAAATTAAATAGGAAAATATTTGTCAACTTTTAATTTAATCATGTGTACATTTCAATCTACTATGATTTGAACTATTGGCAAGAAAAACCTACATATCTGGGTCTACTTCTGATGTTTCGAACTGTAGGATGAAATCTTCTCAAGAATCTGGGAGGAGCAGTTCCTAACTATTCAGTGTTTTTATTCAAATGATCAATATCTACACAAAAATGTAAGAAATATATCCTGACAACAGGACAAGTAAATAGGACTTAACAAAATAATTAAGCTTTGGGGAAAAAAAGTACAATTCAAATCCATTCAAAGTAATTTATTATTTATCTATCTATATGGATGTCTAATTCTTAAAAGAATTCATAGAATTTCAGCATTTAATTTTACATTCATGTAATACAACATACAACTTTTGCAACATTCTACAATTAAGGATCGATTAAACATATCAATGATTCAGTTACCAATTCTTGATTATTTTTAGGGTTTCAAATTTCACATACTAAATGCTACTACAATAAAGTAAATGGACAGTTCTTTGAAAAAGCATGTTTTTTAATAATTTCTTTCAAAATCTATATAGTAAAATAAAATAAATTAACATCTACTATTTCAACACTGAATAAATTTACATAACATCAATTTGTTTTTGAATTAAAAATTTAATTATCTTGCAAATAAATACAGCTGATTTAAGCTAAATTTCTGATTGTCTCAGCTTGATTTTCTTCTAAATTTATACTTTTTCTTTCTTTATTAAAATTATTTCTCATCTTGTTTGTTTTGGGCTATCTGCTGTGTCCACTGCAGGAAATTGAAACCCAGATTTTAGCACTGTGATTCTGTAAATTTAATGATGCCCCATGAAGAGACATTTCTTACCTTAGAAAACATATTCAGAACATTTTATCTATTAAATCTAAAAGTAGTAAGTCACTAACTCATCTTGATTTTGAGGTGGAGAAAAGTTCATTGGAATTGTTTTGTTTTGTTGTTTTTATTATGTAGTAATTGCAGTAGAACATAATGGAAAAAGTTTTAATAATTTATTTATTAGTAACTTAATTTTCAAAAAAATAGCTTACTATAAATAAAACTTAAAAATTTCTTAGTGACTACTTGAAATATTACCAGAAAAATAAAGTAATAAAATTCAAATTTGTGACAAGCTGTTTTGAATGATTATATGTAAAGGCTTCAATCTAATAACATTAAAGGACAACAAGGTACCTTCTGATCCACTAGGCCAATCCATTAAGTTAAACACTAAAATACTCAAATAAAGTCTTTATCATTCAAATATTTATCAAGCTCTCTCTTAGACTTCCTTAAATTAACTGCAGCCAGAAGGCCAACCAACCTATAAGAAAAATAAAGATATCTTACTTGAAGATGACTCCTACCCTGCAAAAATTTATATTTTTGTTCCCCAGCTTTACCGTTCTAACCATTAAATGACAAAAAAATGAGGCATTAACACTATCCATTCCCTTAACGATCTTAAACACCTCAATCAGATTCTCTTTAATTATTTTTTTTTTCAAGAGAAAACAGTTTCAAAGAAATTAACCTATTTTTGTATGATAACCTCTGAATCCTTTCCAACAATTCAAGATGAAACACTACCCTAAATGTTTCCTAACTAATGATCTATTCAGTGACATTATAACCTATTTAGATTTGTATTCAGTATTTCTTTGGGTACAATCTAAAATCCTCTTTGCCCTCCAATTAGCAGCATCACATTGTTTTGGTGACTTTTGAGACTAATCAACCAGAACATCAAAATATTTTTCTTCCATAACATAATTAAGGTTATTCTCATCAAAATGATCATAATTGAAATTATGATATCCCACATGCATTATGTTGCATTTATTATAATTAAAATCCATCTGTCTTTTATTTGCCCAACTCACCAAATAATCTAAATCGTTTTGTAAAGCAGTAGTATATTCTTCATAGCCAGCACCACCCAAAACTTTAATGTTGTCAGCAAATTTAAATAATCTATTGATTGTTCTTTCTCCTACATCATTGATGTAGATCAAAAAAAGAAAAGATCGTAACACTGGGTCCTGAAGTACCTCCCTCATGACATTAATCAGATATGACTGAACTCTATTTGTAACAACTTCCTGTTTCCTTCATTCTAGCAGTTTTCTAACCAATGAGCCTGTCCTCCATACCTACAGAGATAATTTTTTAAACAAGCCTTTTATATGGCACCTTGTCAAATGCTCTCTCAAATTCCAGATACACCAAATCCAAACCTCTACCCTCATCTACATAATCAGTAACCTCTTTAAAGGATGATAAAAGATTAGTAAGACAAGATTTTCCCTTAGTGAAATCATGCTGATTACTCAACATAATTTTAAACTGTTAAATTACTTTGCAAAGCTTTTTTTTTTTATCATAATTTCAAAAACTTTTCCCACGACTGATGTAAGACTAATGGGTAATGATTAATAGCACAGTTTTGATCATCTCCCTTGAAAAGAGGAATAGTATTAGCCAGATTACAATCTTTTGGTACCTGTCCACTGTTCAAGGACTTAGGAAAACAATAGCAAGTGGCTGACATATCCAATCCTTAACCTATTTCAAAACTTTTGGTTAAATATTATTAGTATGTGGCCCAGAGCTTTATCATTCTTTAAACTTCCCAATATTTTCTTAAAGAATTCTGCTTTTTCTTCAGTTTTTACTAATAAAGATTTAAGCAATATTTGTCATAATTGAACAGTTGATAGATGGAAATAAGATTGAACAAGGTGATCACATTAATTCTGAATAAAAATAATCCAGCCATCCCATAATGATCAGATACTAACCATCCTGCATCATCCTTCAAAGGCCCTACTCCCATCCCAACATTTTGATTACCCTTAATGTATTTGAAAATATCCTTGCTATTAAAAGTTATCATTTCTTAGAAACATGCTGCAATTACTTTAAAACGTGGGTTCTCATATGTGCTGTGCACAAAGCAAAGGGCGGAGCTGCTAAGTTTTATTTTTGAAGTATGA